GCCAACATGCGTTGTACATTGGTTTTGTAGAGAGGGTCTTTAGTGTTCCCATAAACTTGTGCACTACGTCTTTGAAGGAGCCCCATGCTTCTTTTTCTTTTTCTCCCACTTCCCTCTTTGGAGAAATACTGAGTGAATTCCTTCTCTCGGTGCCTGTACCACTAGAATGATGTTCCAGGTGACAGCGAGTTTTTATTCTTTAGTCTTGACCTTAGCAATTCGGTTGCATCTTTGGAAAGGCCTAAATATCTAACTAAGTCATTGAGCGCACTCTGAGAAAAAGGTTGGGGTCCCTCATCAACAGAAAAATCTGAGCTGGATTCATCCTAGGGTGGTATTATAGTTCTGTCCTCCGAATCACTCTGTATATCATCCAAACTGGAACGTAGGAGGGGTATTTGAGAGCTATGAGGCACTGGACGAATAGCTGAATTTNATGACCTCAATTTCCCCCTATCACGTACGGTTTTTTTTTGGAAAATAATAGAGGTTTACAATAAAAAATGATAACAGCGATGAAAAAAACGCTAATTTTATTACATTGAACTAAACATATTATTTCTCATTATATTTAACATTCTGTGTTCAGTCTTTTTGCCTGTGAAACCTTTTCTTCTTCTGTTTCATACTTCTGCGAACACACTTTCGCTTTCCATTTTCCGTTTCCCGCTTGATCATCCAGCAGTAGTCAGCTAGCATATTCGCATTTCATCTTCTTTGGTAGCGTCTATCGATATCACGGACATCCTGATGAAATCGTTCACCCTGCTCTTCACTATAGGCTCCCAAGTTTTCGGGAAAGTAGTCGACATGGGAGTGTAAGAAATGGACTTTTAAGCTCATCTTGCAACCTTGAGCTTTATATGCAGCCAACATGCGTTGTACATTGGTTTTGTAGAGAGGGTCTTTAGTGTTCCCATAAACTTGTGCACTACGTCTTTGAAGGAGCCCCATGCTTCTTTTTCTTTTTCTCCCACTTCCCTCTTTGGAGAAATACTGAGTGAATTCCTTCTCTCGGTGCCTGTACCACTAGAATGATGTTCCAGGTGACAGCGAGTTTTTATTCTTTAGTCTTGACCTTAGCAATTCGGTTGCATCTTTGGAAAGGCCTAAATATCTAACTAAGTCATTGAGCGCACTCTGAGAAAAAGGTTGGGGTCCCTCATCAACAGAAAAATCTGAGCTGGATTCATCCTAGGGTGGTATTATAGTTCTGTCCTCCGAATCACTCTGTATATCATCCAAACTGGAACGTAGGAGGGGTATTTGAGAGCTATGAGGCACTGGACGAATAGCTGAATTTAGGTTTGGGTAAGATATTTTCTTTTTATTTTTTGTATTAAAGCCTTTCACATCTACCGAACAGAAATAACAATCCGCCGTGTGATTTTGCTGTTCATGCCACATCATAGGAATGCCAAAACGAAATGAGTTTTTCTTACCCTTAAACCACAAACGAAGTTCTTCCTCGCACCTTCTGTACACCTTGTGAGGAGCCCAAGGTTTGTCTGGATCCCCAAGTTTAAATTTGAAATAAGCAAACTACACTTTCTTCATAAAATCACTTATGTTTCTTTGTTGACTTTTAACTATGAATTCACCACAAATAAAACAAAAGTTGTCAAAATAACACAACCTCTTTGAGCCATAATACAGAGCTAAAACACAAGCACAGTCACATTTGAATGCAGGATGTAAACTGAGTGGCTTATACATCAACCAAGATCCTGAACTTATTTAGCATGTTGAGACATGATCAAATGTGACAACAGGCTTGTTTATACTCATTCCTATTGCCCCAAAGAACATGTCCAAACATGCTCAACCGAGCTAGTAAGACTCCTCACCTTTCGCTACAAATAAAGTAAACATGTTGAGACATGATCGCTTGAGCTCCTCACGCCGCCAAACCCACACTACCAACCCCTTCCACTGCCCCCCGCCCCCCTTTTTCTATTTGTATTATTTTTTAGATTCACTCTTATAAATATTATTTTAAAGTGAGAAATAATTATTGGATATGGTTTTTAGAATCAACAATAGGATACCAGATTTCATGTTGAAGATAAATTTCACGCAAAAATAAACTAAAAATATGAGTTTTGCAAAAAAAATGACGTGATGGATTTTTTTACTATTATTTCCGGTTTTTTGAGTAAAAATCATTAAGAAACAGTAAAAATATCCTATGCAGTTTTTTGGTTGCAGACCTGTGTAATCGAGGCGATGACGTGGATTTTTTCAGTTTGCCTATCCTTCCAGCCGCACTATTGCCCTTGGTTCGACTCAGGCACTAACAGAAATTAGTACCAGGAATATTCTTCTGGGGTGAAGTGCGGCCGGAGCGTAAGGCTAACGACCTCACCGCTACCTATGAACCGATTGTCTAGAAAATGTGCGATCCTCAATATTTCACAACCCTATGGGCCTCCACGGCATGTTACAAGGATACCTATACCTATACCTTCACGATCAATATCACTATAATAAAATAGGTATGTGTAAGAATCCACTTAGCACATCGGCCACTATTGGGCTATTGTACCAGCCCCAGATGATAGATGATGAGTGTGGAGCAGTCGCGGAAACAGAAGTACTTGGGGAAAACCTGCCCCGCCACAAATCACACATGGCTTTCCCTGAGCTTCAACCCGGGCAGCCGGCGACTAACAACCTGAGCTACGTCACGGTCTTGTCGTAGTGTAACTATCACCCTCCTACGAGCGTTACCGTAGTGAACTCTACCAAGTCTGCGCATTGTGTTCAGAACGGTCAGGTCAAAAAACAGAGACTGTTGTATAGAGGACTGTGCCACCGGTGACTCAACGCCGCCACACCTCGTGCAGTTGTACAGTCCACTGTTTAATCATCGCTCGATAAGGCCAGTCGATGCACAGCTCATGGAGCCGGGTGCGTTTACCCGACCCGTTCCAAATCACGGCACTAAAGCCGGGTTTACACGGGTCAAGTATCTTGCCTCCGCACTTGTGTGGTTTTGTTCTACTTGACTTGACTTAACTACAGCCTAACAAACGTGTTTTCACGTAGTTCAGTGGATGTTCAAGTAGATGTACAAAAAGTGTATACGAATCAAATGCCTGACATGAGAAAGCTGGTAGTATTAACCCTGCCGGCCTGCTCACTTGCATCATCTCCTGTTTACACCGGTAAAGTCAGCGGTCAAGTAGGCGATCAGGTGGTAAAATTCGTGGTGGGGGTAGCAGTCAAGTCAAGTTACTTGTCCACCGTGCAGAACTACTTGACTTGTCTCGCTACTTGACGCAAGTCGGTACTTGACTTGGCCGGAACTGTTTACACGATGCAAGAAAAATATTCTAATTAACTTTACCACTCTACATGACCGTTTACTTGACCCGTGTAAACCCGGCTTAAGCGCTGGAGTGATTCATACGCATCCTCTGCGGCTTCATTGTCGATGCAACTGTGTGCATGTCGGCAGTGCGCCGTACATGCTGCGCCCGTCGAATTGGGTGAAATTGTCCCTATGTTAAATGAGTTGAGCCCTACGCCATAAATGGGGGCATTATGCTACATGCCGAAAGGTCCCGGGTTCAATTTCAAATGAGGTCACTAACGTTTTCAGTTTACCAGATCCAGCCGCACTATGGCCCTGGTGTCGACTCAGCCTCTAACAGAAATTACTACCAGGAATCTTTCTGGGGGGTAAAGGGCAGCCGGCGCGCAAGACTAACACCCTCACCGCCATCTTTGAGCCTACTGTCTAGAAAATATGGGAGGGTCGACGCCTCACAACCCTGTGGATCACTACGGCCTGTTGCAGGAATGGATTTACCTTTATTATGACATGAAGACATGGGGCAGTAGAGGTATAGCTCCAATATTCCTGACCTCGGACCAGTTGGAGTAGTGTGGTCTCTTTTAAACCCCATCCGGATAACCGCCGTTTAATAGGTTGCTGGGTGGGCCAAAGAGCCTGTGTAATGTGGTAACACTGGTGTGTTAAGTGACGTCACCACATATTTTATTTTATAAGATTTGATGGTATTTTATTACATTAATAGGGCATGGAACATTGTAAGGTATGCAACGATAGCCTAAAGAGATGCATAAATACGCCTAATGTAAGCATGTAAGTTGCAACTTGAAAGTGAAGTCATCTTCGCTGCACACGGCACTGAGAGTGACGTTATGGTTCCGAGAATTAGCTGCGATATCCAGGGTCCACGCTCTCCTTGTAAGGAAATGGACGCTATAAAGTCACATGATTTTGCCACGCCCGAAGACAATACTATATAAGGGCTGGCATTGTAACCATTCGGGGATGTAAAAACCATTAACATAGTACAGTACTCACTGTACGTTTGAGAGCGTACTGCTCTCGTAAAGTCAGGGGTTTGATTCTTGTTTTGTACTTATTTCATGTCTTGATCAAGTAAAGTGTTTGGTTTCACCTCATAAGTTCGCGTCGTCTACCTTATTTCACACATCCAAGTCTTCAAGGAATCTTGCCTACCTGCACGCCCAATGCTTCGGTTCAAAACCCGTTACAAGCTCAACAGGCAGAGTTCAACATCGCACCTGGCCAGTGCAACCTACCTGTTCAATGTGCATCAACATCGCACCTGTCTTGGTGCAGTACTCACCAAGTGGTGGCAGCTAAATCACGTTACACTCTACGTTATAAGACGTAGTTCGTGTGTAAATCACCATCCTCACACACGCGAACGCAAACGAACTACAATACATGGTGTTCAGCGGCGGGATACGTGTGTGAAATCAGTGGCGTGAAGAAAGTGAATGTGTGTGGTGAATCATCCTCTTGGCTGTAAACCTGAACGGCCGGAGGGACTTTGGTACACCTACCGAGCCTATCTCGAGGGGTTAACGCTCTGGAAGCGGTCCGGGTTAACTGTCTGCAGTAGCTCTGGAGCTGGACTACTGGGAATGAGCAGTCAACTTGATCACGTAGGAGAAAGCTTCCATAAGTGGCCTACGTCAAATCCCGAGGGACAGCATAGGTGACAAGCCGGGAGCAGCCGTCGCCGCTAGAGGGGCTTGGAACATCCTCTGGGACATCGTTTCAACGCACCGAACTACGGCTTTCCGAACACGCCCCACTCTTCAATTTCCAAACAGGTTAGTCTAATCCACTATGACAGAAGACAAAAGTGAATACATTTCTGTGGTTCAGGCGGTTAATTCCCAAAAGCTTCGATGGGAACCCTCAAGTGTTTACATGAATTTTGTGATGGGGTTGAAGCTGCAAGAAAGGTAGTGCACCCAACAAAGTACCCGCTACTTTTAAAATTTATTGAGTCAAAGATTACAGGCGAGGCAAAGGATAGGTTGCTTGCCAGGTCAGAAAGAAATACATGGGAACAATTTAGGGCTATTTTGGAGGAAAATTAAGCAGTGAAGAGGAACATTAGCATATTATGCAAGTTTGTTGTTTATGCGAAACAAGTAAATCATGAAAGTGTGGCTCAATGGGGTTCAAGAATTGATAATATGGGTTTAGATTTGATGCCGCAGAAGTGAGAAAATAAATCCAAATTCTATTGAAAGAGGCATCATACTTGTTTCAGAGTTTATGAAGGGCACATTTCTAGCCGGGTTAAAAGATGACAGAGTTAAATATATTGTCAAGGCTAGGGGAGAGGAGGATTCTCCAACACAGTTAGTAGAAACCGCACTACAGGAAGAATGTGAAGTAAAATCACAGAGTTTTAAAGGGGATAACTTCAAGGGAAATGCAAGAAATTTTAAGTGGCCGAACACAGAAAATGTAGGGAATTTTGGTAGAGAAAATAGATCCCAAATTAAGAGGGAGGTGAATGTAGTAACCTCTGTGAGATGTTATAAGTACCAGCAAGAGGGGCACACGGCGAGGTATTGTAGGAGTAAACCAACTTGTGATACGTGTCATAAGGTGGGGCATGTATCCAAGTATTGCAGAGCCAGGGGCTCTTGGGAAATCTGGCAGTATGGTATTCTAAGCAGCCGAGATTAACCCTGCTGGAAGGCTGCGAATTTAAGAGACCTAATCGTTTCGAGAAAGTTAGTGCTATTATTGGAAACATTTGTTTGAGGATATTGAGAATAAGGGGGATCTAAAAGGGGTTACTGAAAACTGTTTCGAAGAAATAAGTGTTGAGAATCAAGGGGATCCAAGAATGGTTAGTGAAAACCTTGAGGATACTGTCCCGGACCCCAAGAAGTGTCGTCTCAGAGAAATGTGTTGAGAATCAGGGGAATACAAGAAGGGTTAGTGAAAACCTTGAGGATACTGTCCCGGACCCCACGAAGTGTCGTCTCAGAGATATAAGTGTTGAGATTCAGGGGGATCCAAAAGGGTTAGTGAAAACCATGAGGATACTGTCCCGGACCCCACGAAGGGTTGTCTCGAATAAGTAGAGGTTGAGAATGAGGGGGGTCCGAAAGGGGTAAATTGAGACTATGAGGATACAGTCCCGGACCACAGAAAGTATCGTCTCAACGAGGTAGAGAATGAAGGGGTTCCAAAACGGGTTAATGAAAGCCATGAGGATACCGTTCCGGACCCCAAGAAGGGTCGTCTCTACTCGAACTAGGGGGACCCCCTCGTGTTCAAGGATTCGACGGAATCGTGTTTAAAGGTCACGGACCGGGATCGCATAGACGACTGGATGTTAAGGGTTAAATACCCGGATCACATAGATGATCGGATCATAGAAAATGATCGTATAAGAGTCGTAAAAAACGACTTGGAGGAATCTATAGGGGATGATTCCTTGGGACACTACGAGGTTTATGTAGTTAGTCCGCAGTTAACAGGAGAGTTTGGGGTCACTCTTCTGGATACAGGTACAGAGATATCATTGGTGAAAGAATCTTCGCTGAAAGGATTTAATAAAGAAGCAGGGAGAGGACTTAAAATATGTGGAATAACAGGAAAACGAATGGACTTAAAGGGCCAAGTACAATTAAATATTTTGAACACATTAGAACCTTTAAGTCAAATGTGCTATGTTGTTGAGAGTTTACCAGGAAATTTAGATATAATTCTGGGGCAAGATTTGTTGGAAAATGAAGGTTTTGTTTTTCAAAAAGAAACCACCAGTTATAACACTCCCATATAATGAACAGGTTGTATTGTGTAAAACACGAGAAAAAGGAGTTCATTTTACTGAATATTAAGTTCTTCAACCAGGTTTAATTTGTGCAGCTAGTCTAGTCAACTGTGAGAATTTTGAATATCCATGTTTGATGGTTAATTTGGCTGATAAGCCAGTATGTTTGACAACAGATCCGAAATTAGAAAAACCACCAACAATGATGCACAAACCAGATTTCAAAAATCAAATGAAAAGAATTAGGCGATTACAGTTATTACGTGAAAACTTAAGATTAGATCACATAGCAGAGGGATGGAGAATTTGTGTAGATTTTCGAAAATTGAATGAAATTACTGTAGGCGATTGTTACCCACTGCTTAATATTCAAGAGATATTAGATAACTTGGAAAGAGCAAGGTATTTCACTGCTTTAGATTGTGAAAGTGAATACTTACGGGTGCCAATAGCTGACGAGGACAGGTGCAAGACTGCCTTCAGTACAGCAAATGGTCATTTTCAATTTAAAAGAATGCCATTTGGTTTGGAATCAGCGCCAAGCACTTTTCAACGCATGATGAACAATATCTTGTCGGTATGAGGGTTATGAAACTATTCCTATGTCAAATGGACTCTCTGATCATGAAGGGTAACTATTATTACTAAATGTTTCTTCAAAGGTTACTAAAGAGAAACATACCTATTATCATAGAAAAATTAATAATGATAGTCTATTCGATTTTCAAATGAAACTGAGCTATGAAAGATGGGAACCTGTATTTAATACCTGTGATTTAAACTCTAGCTTCAATGAATTTTTAAATACATTTCTGAGACAATTTAATTCTTCTTTTCCCTTACTACGAGGGATTAAACAGAAATCTAAATCATGGGTTACTACAAGTATTTTAGTTTCCTGTAAAAGGAAAAGAGACCTATATCTGGAATCTAAAAGTACAAACAATCCAGTATTACTTAAATACTATAAAGACTATAGTAGAATACTAAATATGGTAATCAAGCAAGCCAAAAGAATCACATATGAAAGGCAACTTAGAGATTCAAAAAATATAACTAAAAGTACCTGGAATATAATAAATACTGAAGTTTGTAAGAAAGCCAGAAAAACAAAAGAAAATGGTAATGCTTTATGCATTTATGGGAGACGTACTACCAATTTGAACACTATTGTGGACACATTTAACAATTATTTTAATAAGATTGCTGACAATATCCACAGGCAAAGTAAAGAAAAGGAATGAATAGTACCAACTTGCCATCATTAAATAAATCCGAAAACTATGTGTCCTATATGTCAAAGGCTTTTAGTAGCCCATTTCCTAGTAGTGAAATTTTGAAAACTACTAATACTGAAATTGAAAAGATAATAGGGTCCCTTAAAGCTTCAACTACTCGTGGTTATGAGGGTATCTCTAATTCAATTTTAAAAGCTAGTAAAATTTTTATAAGCGTTCCGCTAAGCTATCTATGTAATAAGGTATTATTAGAAGGTGCATATCCAGATATGCTGAAATATGCTGAGATTATACCAGTATTCAAAAAAGCTGAAAAATATGATTTATCCAATTATAGACCTATTTCTATCCTTACCTCTTTTAGTAAAATTTTTGATAAAGTAATGTATAGCAGATTGATACGCCATCTAATTGAGTATAAAGTAGTAAGTAAATATCAATTTGGTTTTAGAGCTAATTTGGGGACTGGAAATGCGATATTTCAATTAATTTCTGAAATATTGAATGCTCTCAACCAAAAAACTTTAATCAGTGGGATTTTTGTGGTCCCGAAAAAGCATTTGACTGTGTCAGTCATAAGGTATTATTGGATAAATTAATGTACTATGGAATAAAGGATAAACATCTTAATTTATATGTCTTATTTACATAATAGATATCAGAGAACACAAATTAGAAATAGATATGGGAATGTTTTAACACGATCTAAATGGGTTAGTGTAACAAATGGGGTTCCGCAGGGCTCAGTTTTGGGACCACTGTTGTTTATAATTTCTATTAATGACCTGCCTAAGATCTTGGAGTTAAACAGTATACCTATTTTATTTGCTGATGATACAAGTGTCTTGGTATCACATCCCAATTCTGGGCAGCTAAAGAATTTACTAGATGAGGTTTATTTTATACTTAGTGATTGGTTTTCAAAAAATTTATTGTCTTTAAACACTGTAAAAACATGTTGTATAAATTTTACTGCTAACAACAAGGCGTCTATTGGAAGGGATGTAGGTAACATACTAACACAAATCACGAGCTCTTACGATCTTAAATTCCTTGGTATAACTATTACTAGAACTATGAATTGGGAAAGACATATTGATGAGCTGTTAAATAGGTTGAGTTCAGCTTGTTATATGATAAGGAACATGAAACCCATGATGACTATTACTACCCTGAAAATTATTTATAACTCTTATTTCCATTCTGTCATGTCCTATGGCTTGATATTCTGGGGTAATTCAGCTTCTGCTGAAAAGGTTTTTAGGATGCAAAAAAGAGCTATACGATTAATGGTTGGTTTTGGATATGAACAGTCGTGTAGAAATAGATTCAGGGAATTAAATATACTCCCTTTAAGAGATCAATATGTTTACTTACTGATGATGTTCTTTGTTAAAAATAGAGACAAGTTTGCTCTAAACAATGACTATCATGATTTATTAACCAGACGGAGAATGGATCTACATATGAACCAGATGAATCTGGCTGTATATGGTAGGGGCGTGTCCCACATGGCGGCGAAGGTCTTTAATGCACTCCCTTATAATCTTAAAGAAATTGCTTCTATACCTAATCAATTTAAAGTCAAATTGAAGGACTTTTTGAGTAATAATTCCTTCTACACACTTGATGAATTTTTAATAGATGATTTTATTTTGCTAAAGTAATTATTAACTGTTCACTTATTATTACAACTAACATAACAATATATAAAGGGCCTTGTCAGAAATATGATTGCTTACTATATACTAATTGTTATTTTGAAATTTAATTATATTAATTTATGTAT